CACACACTGTGAAATGCACAGAGTAAAACACAACATTTAACAGTCATGAAGAATTAAATACGTCTTTACTGCTTCAATGGGAATTAAGTTCAGTAGTACTGAAGATGCTAACAAGAGGAACTTGATCAGGTGATCATCAGAAAGTGTGACGAGCTGTAAAAGCTGTGGTTACTGCGACAGCTGCACTCGCTGTCCACCTGCTCGCCTGTGGTTGCTTCAAAGATGGAGATGGGTTGCCCTCTTCAAAGCAAATGAAACAGTACGTGTGTGCAATTCGTTTGTGATTAAACAGGCACCTGCATGCAATCTGCTACGATGCATTCATGCCACCGTTAACTGTAATAAATGTGATATGTAAAGCTTTAAGCCAGGGTGGACTCGCCTTCACACAGAGGTGAAGCTCTCAGGCACAAACTGGGCCAGGTGAAAAACTAATCATGAAGAGCAGGTAGTTCATGTCAGAGTTCTACCAACAGCAATACAAATGTGTGGCTCAAACATGAGGGCACTAACAAACTCCATTACAGGGAAAATGCAAATGTTTCTCTCTGAAGAAGCACACACGTGTTTATATTAAATACAAGGTTGAACTCTTTTGTTAGAAATTTCCAGGAACTCTGTGTCGACTTGAGGACTAGGACGCAGGTGCAGCGAAGGATTCATCCACAGAGAAGTGGGTGACTCCTCCTTTAAAGCCTGAATCTATGAGCAACAGCTGACATGACAAAGCATTACTTATTTTAAATTCTGAGCTGCCTGTGTTAATGAAGTAAGGGTGCACATCTAAGGTGTGAAACTGCATAGAAGCTGCTGACACCCTGCAGTTACAATGACCATGATCCTGCTGGACAGTACACGTGTCAAACAAAGAGAAACAAAGGCCTCACTCTGAGAGTGTTACATGCACGCTTCACGCTGTGCTGTCAAACACATTACAGAGCCAAGTGGCTTTTACTTAAATGTCATCATTAGTGTTTATACTACACGTTTAATTCATCTGCATTATTTGAATTAAAGTGAAATGAATATACCTTGCTGTATCCGAGTGCTGTAGCATCTTTCCTGATGCCAAACCATTTGGCGGGATCCACTGGTTCCTTATACAAGGACGAGTTTTGCATTTCATCTGGTAACAGGTTGGTTTCATTTGCAAGAGGCTGTAAAAGAAAAGATGGATCACAAACAGTTTCTCACTCCTGCTGATAGAGGACAAAAGGATTATTCTACAAGAACAAGAAGATGCAGCAGTTCTCTAATATTATGAGTAATAAAATTATTATTCTGATCTCATCGGATTGATAAAACACTACTGAGATGTTCTGGAAGTCACAGTTTGGGAACATAACCAGACTTTCTGATCATTTCTTAAAGTGCTCTTGAGCAACAGTTCAGCTCATTTTCAGTCCAGTCTGTGACCCCGGCCACTTTCTGTTTTGTTTCTTGAACTGACTGCGCTGCATAAATACAGGCGCAGCACCAACGCATGCTCGTCTCAGGTATTAACCAAACCACGCAGCCGGTTCTCTCAAACTGGCTTTGCACGCCTCCAGTAAAGCAGAGTCTTACCATGGTGCAGTTACGGGAGTAGTCGTCAGGGTCAACAACACTGAGCTGGTACAACATCTTGCACACAATGATGACGCACACCCAAACTGTGGACAGGCAGGACGCCATGGATCTGAAACGGTCATAAGGCATCGCCAGAGACCAGAGGACAACCAGGACCAGATTCATCACAGAGGGCTACAGAC